ACTAACCACAGGATTGGGCACATTACATGTTATGTAATCTATGTAATAACATTGTGAGAGAGACATTTTTGTGTGTCTCACAGATAATAAAACGGAAGCATGGTGAGGGTAAGTGACTTGCTCAAAATTATATAACTCATACTATAAATTATATAACTCTTACTATAACTTGAGATAAATGGTGTTGTGAGGGTATAAAGCGGAGAGATTAGGAAAGTCTTCCCTCAGGAAATGATAATTGATCTCTAAGAGCTAACTAGATTCCAGATTGGAGCTGGTAGAGAGAAGAGCATTTCAGGGAAAGAGAAAAGCAGGTACAAAATTCTTGCTTTAGAGAGAGCTTAGGATTTTTAAGCAACTGCTAGAAGGCTCCTGAGGCTAGAAAGCAGAGTAAGAAAGAGTGGGAGGTAGGAGATGAGGTTTGAAAAGCCGAGCAGGGGCTGGACTACCCAGGGGTTTATGGGCATGTTGAAGATTTTGGTGAGCTGTTGAAAGGTTTTAGTATATGCCCAACTTGTGTATGGATGGAATAAATAATATGCTTGATGTATGTGTGTTCATTTCAAATACATAAGAGATACTATTGTGATGGATTTAATACAAATTTATTTAAATTTTACTTAATTCCTAGCAGTCAATAGTTACAATTCTTAACATATACAAAAAGGAACAGTGGGAGAATCTATGAAATGTTTTATTGTGAAAAAGGGGTTCTTATATTTAAAGATTAGAAATTTGCTGCAACATTAAAAAAATAATCATTTATGTTAGCACTTTGACTGATGGGAATTGGACTGCCATGAATAAGAAGTTTTTCATTTCCAGATTTGTTCTGTTTCTGTTCGTTTTTCAGGTAACCTTAATTGTAACACTTTAATTCATACTGATTTTAAGTAAATAATGTATAGAACTTCAAGTTAGAGCACTACTAATAAAATAAGGCAGTGATTAATTCTGTATGAGTCTTGGCTTGAAACCAAGGAACTTCCAGACTGGATACAACATAGATTAGATGGTTTGTCATACTGTTAACAGTAAATGGTGTTCAGCCCATGCTATTAGACAGAAATACACAGATTAAAGGAGGGGAAAGGTAACTACACAAACTCTAAATTACTAACTTGGGAATCCCTGAAGTTGGAGAACTTATCAGTTGGAGAAGTGTCTTGATACAATAGAGTTGCCAAGTGGCTAAGTGTGGCTGCTGTTTTCCAGTTCTCAGTAAGTCTCATTGTGAGAGTA